TTTAATCAGAGTTAGTAACAGAACAAGAGATAAAGAAACAAATGCCAATAATACAATAAATAATTGTTCAATACAGAGAATATTTACTGCGCCAAATTAACATTAATACATATTTTCTTTCGATAATAAAAAGAAAGTAGTTACTAAAGTGTAACATTGTCTGGTTTTCTAATTCGTTATTCTACAAGTGCACACAAATGCCGAGTCCCAAGTGCACTTACGGAGGCGCCACTGTATTTGATTACGACTTGATAGCTTTAATATTAACAATAATTATAGTTCTTAACCAAATAAAGATGTAATCAATTAAAGTAGTAATGGAATTTTTTGTGCATGCAAATAAATTCTATTTGTCAAACCAATCTTACTCCAATTAAAAGATGGACTGTGCGAAGTAGGATTTGTTATCATGAACATTGTTATTTGCTGCCAAGAGTTTAACGTACATGTAAAAACTTGCGACAATTGTATTTGATAACGCCGTAAATTGTGCTGATTACACATATCAAATAGCATAAGTCTTTTCCAAGTATTATTATATTACAACAATATTAAATTACTGTTGCACGCTGTTTCTTTACGCGTTAGACATCAATGATACGTACGTACTACTACTGATAATAATTAATCTCTTGTTTCGATCAGTTGCCGGTTTTTTGACGAATCAATTATAATGCAAAAATGGTAATTAAATACAAGATCCGTAAATTATTAAAAAACAGAAGTCAGATTTTATTTAGTAATATACAATACATTCACAATTATTTTTAAAAGGTGCATTATAAACATGACGTTAAACTTTTTCAAAAGTCAAAATATTCATCCTCTTTGAATCCAATCTTTATCAGATTAGGAATACAACATCGTTGAATCATTGGAGGCGGGCCACACATAAGCACAATACTTTGTCCGCCATCCTCGGGTGCAAACAAATTGTCACGTATCATATCCTCACTTATATACCCAGAGCTATACTTCCAATCACTAGGCGGTACATCTACCGTGTACCACACCTTGATATTACTATGCTTTTTAGCGATGTCATCCAATTCATCTCGAAGCAGGATATCTTGCTCAGTTCGGTTTGCATACAGCAGCGATACTTGAGTGTTGTCATCCTTGTTTTTGATGATAGCGTGTATTACTTGATAAATAGGAGTAATGCCAGAGCCACCAGCTATCATTCCAATCTTTTTACATGACTTCCGAGATACTCTGGTGCCCTCTTTTGTTTCGTATTTTCCACCACCAACGTATACATATTGACCGAGCGGACCTTTGATGTCGATCGTCTCTCCTATTTTCATCCTTTCCAAATGCTGTGTCATTAATCCACCATTAGGAAACCTAGGATGGACGTTAGCAAAGTATACTTTTATCAATAGTTCAAAATATCCAGGACAGTCGTCAGGACGCGTAATTGGCGTGTAAGCTCGAATGACATTTTTGCCATCGACCGATCCACGAATGAATATGTGATTTCCAGACGGAAGTCCAAGCTTTTGATCTTTTGACGGCAGAGCAAAGCGAAAGATTCGGGTGTCATGTGAGAGGTGAGTTTTAAAGACCAGAGGACAGGGAAGCCAGAGCCTCGGGTTTAGAGCAGTCGAGCCCGAAATAGACGGCTGGATGAATGGAGCAGGCTTTGGTGTAACAAGTGGGGTTGTGGATGGAACGTTATTTCCGTTTTCTAGGTTTCCAATATAGTAGTCTGATAGCATGTTTCTCGCCTTTTTGGAATGTATTGCATCAAACTCTTCTGTACAATCGGTCCCAGCGTTTATAATAATACTGTCTGCTCCACCAGGATGCTGATCCAAGAATTTGGTGCAATCGTAGACTTTACCACCGACAGCAATCCAACAGTCCCTTTCGTTATCGTGCTTTGCAACTTCACTCATTGTAATGTTTTTTCCCGCTTGATTGGTTCCATTAGTATCGTTGATAACGCTTACTTTCTCTACTTCTTTGGTATCCGCATCCTCTCCTCTATTCATCCATCCGCCAACCTGATTGCCTGGCAGTGTGGGATGCTCAAACGAGACCACTACATCCCTATTCTCTATTTTTGTGTGCACTTTGACTCTGAAATAACAGTTATTCATCATTCCCATGACGTTCCATGTCAAATCTCTCGGCTGAGTATTCTGCGTAGCGTCCCATGCTCTGACCCATATCTCTTGACATTTGAGCAATGACATAAAGTCAATGCCCAACTCCCAAAAACACCAACACCAGTGTTTGCGAACAGGGTTGTGACCACGAGCGAGAACCATGGGGTGGGTTAATTCGGGATGAGTAAGAGAGGTGAGTAACCAGGTTTGTCCTTGGTCGAGCGAAATTTCTACACGGGTGACTTTGCGACCGCCGCCGGAATATGCGTACCCACGGAGTTTGTAGGAGGATGTGTTGACAAAGGATGAGAGGTAAATTTTTTCATTATGGGCTGGACTGCTAATTGCAGAGTTGATGTTCAGTTCGTTTATAATGTAATCTGGGATATACCACCAGTTTTCTTTGTTTGCTCGTTCGTTATCGACGTTTGGTGGTAGTACTCTGTTATCGTGGTAATGATAATAACTGTCTGACTCGCAATCGGTAATCGTGATTTTGCCCAACCATTTAATCATCCGCCCACCAATAGCTCCAGGTATGACGACTCGCAAAGGGTATCCATGATCAGGTAACAATTCTTCTCCATTCATCTCATACGCTAAAATCACGTCCATGGCATCATTCATGGCCCATTCTAACGTCAAGCTAGTTCCATAGTATCCGTTGGGTAGAATATCGACTCCGTGGAAGCAGACATAACGTGGGGAGTCTGCAGTGACGTCGTCGAGCGAAACACCAGCAAGTTTGAGAATGTGCCGGAGAGGAACACCCTTCCAGATTGCCGTTGAAACTGCAGCTGCGCCCCAGTTGAAACCGATCGATTGTTTGACCCTGTTTTGTTCTTTCCGACGGTTTCCGGCGCATACGAGCGTTACGGGAATTGTGCGAGATGGCATTGCAGTGATTTCGTCCATAGAGAAAGTTAGCGTCTTTTTAACAAAACTAGAGAAGAAGTGATCACGTGATTAGAATAAACGACGTGACGGGTACCCGCGGATATATTTTTCTAGACATTCTCTTCTCATACTTACCCTTCAACAACCAAGCGATGGGTCTCCCATTGTAACTTGGGTACTGGCCCGTGATTGCGTACGTAATGTAGTGAATTTGGAGTAAGAAAACCCTGATCCATTAATTGAGTTAATGGTGGTTCGCAGTTGAATGGGTGCTTGCCGGTAAGACGGACGAGATTAGGATGTCGAGGAATCCATTTGTCGGGAGTATTGGCATCACGAGGATCGATCGCAGTTATGGGTACTGAGCGAGCATATATGGGATTCTTTGATGGTAGGGAAGATAAGGGAGTTGTATAATGTTGCGGTTGAAAGTTTGGTTTAGCAGATAGAGGAGAAGGGACAGCCGGTTGCGTTGAAATTGTTGCCATTTGCTCCGAGAGTTACAAATGTTGTGTGTGTATGATATGATATATTGGTAGCAGAGATATTGTAGAATGCAAGACAAGATAATTTACGTTACAAAAAGACTATGGCAATAAATAATTCAAGGGTATTCCAGTTTGCGGGCTTTCGCAAGACTGAAATCAAGATTGGATGTAATCTATTTAAATGTATTGACACGTGAGTTGATAACGAAGATAGAGCAAGGATGATATGAAATGATCAGACGGGATCGACAACAAGTGAAAAGTTTAATGTCCGGGTGGAAATGGAGAGTACAAGGAGTTTTGCGTTCCTTTATTAGTTATGGAGAGTACAAGGCAAGGGTCAACAATTAGCAAACTGGATTGTAATACACTCAGTAAGTTGATTGGCGATTGATAAGCGGGTACGCGGATTTAATAGAACATTGTTCTTTCAGATTGAAAGTTCCCAAATCGACATTGATTAGTCTTTGATAGCTGTTCTATCATGCACCATTCTGGATTTAGCTTATCTCATTTATTCTGTTCATTTAGGAAACCACCCCAATCGGTTTATCTTGGCGTTTTGTGACAGAATGAACGGTGCATCACGTAATGAGTGATTGTGGATTTTAGAATTCATAATATATACGCGGGTGATCTTTATATGTATTACACGGTCCAATTTGATTGAATGCATTACAACATAAACAAAACGAATAAGGAAACTGCCTGCAGAATGGATTTCTTCTCTCTCTTTTTTTTTTTGCAACTTAATAAAGAATGCAGGTGCATTAAAAAGACCTCGTGAGAGATAAGAGGGGGTGTAGTGCAGAACTGAATTGTAACACTGTTGGGCGTACATCCGCGTGTCGTAATAAATTATAACGTACCATAAGAAAGTCGTATTCACGATGATTTGATAAGTTTAACGGTGTTTCGACTAGTTTAATATCAATAAGAATTTTTATGGTAATAATTGACGAAAACGAAGTTGAGTGATCTTCGTCTGATAGGCGTCGGTGTGACAAGCATATGAAACAGAACCAATAACACTCATATGATGGATATGACATTGCACTGCAGCTGCTGTGAAATGTTGATAGGCAATTGTCCTGTCAGTATCCGGTGTAGAACAAGAAATATCATCAAAACAAATAATAATAAGGATAATACATAGTCACTTGATTTAATACTGTAAATCCGTTGTATAACCGAATACTTACACACAAGAAGTAAATTCTTTTTAAAGTCGCGTCCAACCCATTTCCTCCCGTTAGCCGCCGGCTTTCGAACTCCATCTGCTCTTTGACGCTTCAATAGTTCGATAAGAAACCGCATGAGAATATTATAAGATTTATCCAATAAAAAAAAATCTTGTAATAATCGATTGAATTTATGAATAAAAATATACGAAACATCATTACTTCTTTTTAAGTTCTTCATCATTACCTTTTCTTTTTTTACTTCTCTTCCCCAATCATCTCTACCCTTTCCTTTTTCTGGACCAACAAAATAAGAAAAAATGTCAAAGGCACTTGGAAAACTGTTTGGGAACCCAAGAAACCCACTTCCGACCAACCCAGCCACGCAAAAGGCGGAGCGTCTCAATTTGATCAAATTCTCTCGCCCTCACATGCGATCATTTCACTTTGCATGGCTTGGATTTCTTACCGCGTTCACTGGGTGGTTTGCTGTCGCTCCTTTAGCTCCAACAATTAAAAAGGACCTGAAGTTAAACCCTTTCCAATTCAATGATTCAAACATTATTTCCGTCTCCTCTACCATTGCGTTCCGTATACTTGTTGGTCCATTATGTGACGCTATCGGTCCAAGAAAGGTTATGGCAACGTTACTTCTGGTGGGTTCTATTCCGGTCGGATTAACCGGGTTGGCAAACGATCGTGAGGGATTGATGATTGCAAGGTTTTTCGTCGGTATTCTTGGAGCGACATTTGTTCCATGCCAATTCTGGACAATGCAGATGTTCGACTCTAATGTTGTCGGCAGTGCTAACGCAATTGCTGGAGGATGGGGTAACATGGGAGCTGGTATTACGTACCTTCTCATGCCAGTAATCATGCAATGGTTTGTTGATGGAGGAAGGTCCACCCATGACGCTTGGAGACTGACGCTAGTTGTACCAGCCTGTCTCTTGATTGTCGTTGGTATAGCTTGTCTGTTGTTTACGGATGATTGTCCAGAAGGAAAATGGAAGAACAGGGGAAAACTCGTAGAAGAAGAGAAAATAGTTGAAGTACACGATGCTGGAGATGTTGATAAGGAAAAGAAGGCAACTACGATTGAACCGGCAAACAAACAAAGTACCGCCACTGCCCCACCTACTTCTAAACTTAGGGCTTTCTACATTGCACTATCTAATCCCAATGTGTGGGTTTTAATGGTCATGTATTCCTGCACATTCGGCGTAGAACTAGCGGTGGACAACGTTCTTGCAGATTTTCTTTTCAACCACTTCCACTTGACCCAAAAGACCGCGGGTTTGATCGGATCTCTATTTGGATTGATGAATCTCTTCTCACGTGCTACAGGGGGATTCCTATCTGACTTTGCAAGTTCTCGTCTGGGAATACGTGGAAGATTATTGGTGCAGCTTTTGATTATGTTCTTTGGAGGATTATTCCTGTTTCTCTTTAAATTTGCTGTTACTACCTTGACTGGAGCTATTATCGTGTTGGTTATTTTCAGCTACTTTGTTCAGGTGAGTAAGAAGCGATTGCTTTGCATTGATATGATGTATAGACTCTTTGCTTTTCTTGCTACAATACAATCGATTTCTTACAAACATTATCTTAATATCAATAGGCTGGCTGTGGTTCATCATTTGGTATAGTTCCCTTCGTCAATCCAGCAGTTTCTGGTGCTATCTCTGGTCTAGTTGGAGCGGGTGGCAACATTGGTGGTTTAATATTTACTATAATCTTTAAGAAATACTCGGAAGATACCCCAACTGCATTTATGGTTATTGGATGTGTTGTTATGACGGTTGCATTTACCGCCTTCACATTGAAAGTTGATGGAATGAGATTGGCTTCATTTAGAAAGTCATAGACGATCTGTCTTCTTGTATTCATATAATATCTAACTAGATCGTATATACTGTCATTGAAAGGTGTAATTTCTGTGGATCATTGCATTGGATTATGACTATTCGAAAATACAGCGATTGCTTCTAGTTTAGTCTAATCAATCGATTGTAAAAGTGTAAAAAAATTTTATACTAAGTATTAATATACACAATATAAATAAACACATGCTCAAAAATGAATGGGTTAATATTACCATATTGAGTTTCATTAAGTTTCTAGTTACTAAATTAATTCTAATTAAAGTTATTTATCGCTTTTATCGGTACGTAAGAAGAAGATCTGCAATTCAGAGAATTTATTAGGCAATTAGGATCTGCACGCAATCGATCATCGAGTAGACTTAATGTCATTGGAGGGAGATAAGGGAAAATGGGGAAGGGACATAGGTTGACGATGAAGTGCATTTATCTGTTATGGACACAAATTTACAGACCTGAGAGGGGCGGAATTGGAAAGCTGATAGCTAAATTAATTAAAATTTTCAAGGGCCAATGTATTGTCGCAAGCCTCTTCGAGATAGGGAAGCGTTCCCGGTTTCTATCACTGCTAAATAAACTTGGATATATATGTTATTTTGTGCAAACAAATGCTTAAAGAGTCAAGGCGATTAACAGATTAAGATTTTGGTCTAACGAAATTGCATTATTGTTGAGAAACACCAAAGTTGTGCTACTACGAAATGTGACGACACAACACATGTTACTGCTTGACATATCGGTACGTGAATTTCCGTTTTGGGAGAGACCAAAAAATTGAACAAATCGGAGACAGACTCTGGATATACGAGCGTGTATTGACAGCCACAAACAGGCATATGCAGCCACACATATCTTTGACATTTCCTTATCGTGCTCATGAAAGTAACACACACTGATAAACGATAGGAATTAAAAATGTATGGCCAATAGTTGACAAATTACAATAGTCAGTAAATTTGTTAAGATATTCATTGTCCTTTACTAGTCGCACGCAGTACGTCCCAACGAGTCCATTGGGTCTGAAAATTGCTACCCAAAGTCGTACGGGCAGAGAACTGCAGCCCCGATTAAAATTATGATGTAACACGACCTTACTCACAGAAGTCCTGGTATACGAACAGAGTTATTTATGAAGCTCAGACGGAACCAAATTAAACATAAACTTTGTATTGTACGTCAGAAACGGAGCATTGTGAGAAAATATTTTATTTTATTTTTTAATTAAGGTTCTGGTACCCTAGATCACTAATGCTAATTTTACAACCGAATAAATTGTCAAAACGCCGAGCGAATTTGCCCTTATAATTTACTTGATCAATATTCTACCTAAGATCTTTTTGCTTAGTTCGTATGAAGTTGCAAATAGTGCATTATCGTTCCGTAACGTCCCGTTTGGATACATGAATCGCCGATTTATTCCGGAAAATATTAAGGGTAATTTAATGCTTGTTACCAAACTTTAATTTTTTTTCTGTCCCGACTTATTTTCGATAAATAAGGATGTTTCTAAATTGATCGCCAAAACCCGCTTGCGATTATCATAGATAAGCTAATATCGATCCTATCTGCAGATATAGATAAGTTGAAGATCCTCCGCTAACAAGTTTTTCTAATTGGGGTGTTCTTATCTTCAGATAAGAGAACCATTTATTATAGTTTTAGTTTGAAACAAAAAAGAACAATTTGTACAACAGTCGCACAGGGGCATATTAATATAATCGTTAGTGTAACTATATATGGTTTGAAGGCTTGATTCGTTGCAATTGCTTCCATTATAAAATGAAGAACATTCAAAACACAACGGATCAGCGTGGTCGTTCTTATTATGCTAACAAATCATAGTCTTTTGACATGTGCTCTAATCACTTACTACAAGCAAATTTTTCATAGTGCTTGGAATAATTAATATCCGATAACGATATAAGACTTGGCAATGATCTGCACTTTGAATGAGATACGCCAAGGGTTGGTTGGAACCAATAAAACCAATAATACAAGAAGACGAGAAATAAATTGCTTAGAGACTATCATTGCGTTTTAGGGTATTTGGTCAACCTATCAACCTATCGGATGTATATCTTTATTGTGTGACTCTTCCAAAGAACTTACGCCCTCAGCGTAGAATCTACCCGTCAGTATCACAAGACAAGAATGTAGAGGATGCTGCAACCTCTTCCTGTTCTACCCTTGTCATGCAGCTGTCTCATGCAGATCACTTGTTCCGATAACAAATTAATCGTTACTAATGATACCGTGTAACAAAGTTATGGTTATCAATGTTACTGTGTAACAAATAAAGCGTGTACATTGCAGTTTTTCTACATTGGACAAGCTTATCAGTATACTTAAAAATTAAGTGTTGTGAGACCTTAGTTTGAAAGATAGCTGTTTGGTAAACAAAGCGCTTACGAGCGCCACATGTTATGGGCATGTGTAAGTAAGTAAGTAAACAATGACCATTACACTGGTACTAAATACATTGTATATACTGTATGTATTGAAAGGTACCCCCCCCCTTTCAGCACGTAATATGCTGTGTGGTGATTGATATAATTTATCACATATCCATCACCACTCATCATTCTCTCATATAATCAATCGCATCATACACAATCCTAATCAGTTTGTTAGTGCTAGCATTCATATAACGGAATTATTGCATTCGACCTCTCAGACAACATGGAAACGAATGGATTGACGAATGGACTAACAAATGGAGTTACGAATGGAGTTACGAATGGACTAACAAACGGAGTTACGGATGGACTAACAAACGGAGTTACGAATGGACTAACAAACGGAGTTACGAATGGACTAACGAACAAAGAGACAGTTGTCGTGATTGGATTGGGAATGGTGGGACTGTCGTTTATTGAGAAGCTGTTAAAGTATGATACGAAAAAGAGATACAAAGTTGTGAGTTTCTGCGAAGAAAGTTTAGGTAATTACTAACATTGAAACGAGCAATATTTAAAAAAGAACGCGGTTTTATGCACGATTCATAAAATGTGATTAATAATCAACCACCCCCTTCCTTTGCCACAAAGTCGCATACAACAGGGTAGGGCTGACCCAATACTTCTCTCACCGCTCTTCCACTCGTCTCCTTCTCCAGCCTCCCGAATGGTATTCCAACAACTCAATCACGCTCTACACATCAGAACTGGCATCTTCCATCTCCACGTCTACGAAAACAGTCATCTCATCATCCGGTAGAGAGATCCAGTATGACAAGTGTATCATAGCCACAGGCTCCGATCCATTTGTCCCGCCCATTCCAAACAAAGAAGCCAAAGGTTGTTTCGTTTACAGAACCATTGATGATCTAGACAATATTATTAGCTGGTGTAAAAATGCTAAAAAGGGTGCAGTCATCGGAGGAGGGTTACTGGGACTTGAAGCCGCCAAAGCATTGATGGATCTGGGGTTAGAAGTAACAATCATAGAACGAAATCCTCACTTGTTATCGCGGCAAATAGATCATGAGGGTGGTCTAATGCTCGAACGCGAAATCGAGAAAATAGGTATCAAAAAGGTCCTCCAGAATAGCCCACGAAAAATCGAAATCGACGAAACTGGCAAGGTTACTGGCATAACATACGAGAACGATCACTTTGATGAATTCCAAGTCATTGTCATTGCTGCTGGCATACGACCACGTGACAATATCGCGCGAGTTTCTAATATCGATACTCATCCACGTGGCGGTATTCAAGTTGACGATCGGCTGCAGACAAACGATCCCCATGTCTATGCTATAGGCGAAGTCGCTTTACACCGTGGAGTCGTGTATGGATTGGTAGCACCTGGTTATGACATGGCGGATGTCGTAGCGGCTAACTTGACATCTCAGGCAAGAGATAGAAAGTTCAAGGGTGGTGACTTGTCATCCAAGTTGAAACTCTTGGGTGTGCATGTTGCTAGTTTTGGTGATTATTTCGCGAAAGAGGACGTGGCTATGCCGTTGACTTATAAAGATCCATTTGGTGCAGTGTATAAAAACTACTTGTTTAGTAAGGATGGAAAGCATCTGTTGGGCGGTATTATGGTTGGAGATACAGACGATTACGCCAAATTGCATGCTATGTGGAAGAGTAAGAAACCATTGACAATGCTTCCTGGAGAGTTAATATTGGGAGTCAAGTCGGGGCAGGCACCTGGGGCAGACGAGTTGCCAGATGAGGCTCAGGTTTGGTAAGTATGATGATGGCTGATCCATATGTTTGTTGACTTGCGGAAGATGATTTAATATCAATCACGTGACTAACTGAAGTCTTCCTTCCCAAATTGCATTACTCACTAAAGTTCGTGCAACAACATCTCAAAAGGCGAAATACGTGAAGCGGTTCGAACAGGCAGCTGCCGCTCCATAGGTGAAGTCAAATCGTGCACAAAAGCAGGTACCGGCTGTGGCGGATGTCTCCCAGATGTCCAAGAAATTTTTGCGGCAGAAATGAAAGCATGCGGCCACAAAGTTACCCAAAATCTCTGTCCACACTTTAATTATACGCGCGTCGAACTGTTCCAGATTATCAAGATTAAGCAATTGAAAACCTTTAGGGAGATTATTGATACCGCTGGGAAAAAGGGCTCGTATGGATGCGAAGTATGCAAACCAGCCATCGCATCCATATTGGCTAGTTTATGGAACGATCATATACTCGATCATGCCAATTTACAAGATACGAACGATCGATTCCTGGCTAATATTCAACGTGGAGGAAGTTATTCGGTAATACCACGCGTGCCGGGTGGAGAGATTACACCAGAGAAACTCATTGTTCTCGGAGAAGTGGCCAAGAAATACAATCTGTACACCAAAATTACTGGCGGACAACGTGTCGACCTCTTCGGGGCTGCTAAACAAGACCTGCCGGATATCTGGGAACAACTGGTTGACTCTGGATTCGAATCTGGTCACGCTTATGGCAAGGCATTACGAACAGTTAAATCGTGTGTCGGATCGACTTGGTGCCGATATGGAATCGGGGATTCGGTCGGGTTTGCCATTAAGGTCGAAAACAGGTACAAGGGAATAAGGTCACCGCATAAACTTAAAGGAGGTGTTTCTGGGTGCATTCGAGAATGTGCCGAGGCACAGGGGAAAGACTTTGGCATGATTGCAACAGACAAGGGATTTAATCTCTACGTTTGTGGAAATGGTGGAGCAAAGCCTAAACATGCCGTACTTTTGGCTAGAGACATTTCAGAAGAATTGTGTATAAAGTATTTGGACAGATTTTTGATGTACTACATACACACGGCCGATCGACTCACGCGTACCGCACGATGGCTAGAGAAAATGGAAGGCGGGATTGATGTATGTTGTAAAAATAATGCGTGATAAGCTGTAATCGTTTGTATTGCTAACAACATTTGCTAATAACATTCGGAAATCACATTACATAAATTTAGTATTTAAGAAGAGTCGTAATAGATGATTACCTGGGCATCTGTGCAGAACTAGAAGAGGACATGGCGCGTCTTATCAACACATACCAATGTGAATGGGCGACGGTAGTTCATGATCCTAAACGACGAGCCGAGTTTCGACAGTTTACCAATACAGACGAAAACCAGTCTCTTATTGAATTTGTCGACGAGCGCGGTCAAAACCGTCCTGCTGATTGGCCCAAGGAATTCCCTAAAACAGAAGAATCCGAACGGATAGCCGCAGAAAGTGCACCTGACGGAGGAAAGGCATGGATAAAGATTGCTCACGTTAACTCGTTCCCCGAAGATGCCGGAGATGTTGTTAAATACGGAGACGTGCAAATAGCCATCTTTAATAGTCATAATAGGACAAAGTGGTATGCAACTCAAAACATGTGCCCACACAAGCGAGCATTTGTCTTGTCACAGGGGATTGTTGGGGATGACGAGAATGGAGTTTTGAAAGTGAGTTGTCCCATGCATAAGAAGAACTATGCTCTCGAGACTGGAGATTGTCTGACTGATGGTCCAGACTTGAAATTGATGACTTTCGATATAAAGATCGAGGGTGAGCACGTTTGGTTATTGCTTCCGTCGACGGAAGAGTTGGACGGCTTACTTGGTACAAGTAAGTGGATGGTTAAAAAGCATCATGTTAGGAAGGAGAAAAATATCAACATTATTGAAAGAGTTGGTCAGGAAGTTGCATGTGGTGGATGTGGAGATAGTAAGTTAGATTGGTGATGAGCAACTAAAACATCGAAAGAGATCACTATTTTGTATATTCATGTGTGCAATTTTATTTGGCATCTATTATTTATTTTAGTAGTAGTTTGGATTATATAGTTTGATCATCAAAAGTAAGTTATAGCAAACGCCCAAAAATGTCAAAAATTCAATTTAATAAAATCATCGTAATTTACATTCAAATTTTCACTCATTTATTTGATTGACGTTTGCGTGTCATACAATGTCATGTGTATATATTTTCACAAATCTGCCCTTCCAAAAACAAAAACCATTTTCTTCATTGCTAATTAATTTTCATAGCGAGTCGAGTCGCCTTTTTTTTTCGCAGACTTTACAAATCTAATTAATTGTTTAAACTGAGGTTTGGTGATTTTCTCCAGATATAGCATAGTGTTTGCAGTCACATTCTTCAATGATTGTTCACCAAGGATCCCAAATAATTCATATACTCGAACACTAAGCTTACCCTGCCTCTTCATCAACCTGTAAGAAGTCTTTAGATACATTTTCTGCTCTTCGTAGTCAATCAGTTCAGGGTGGCGTGATAGATAGCGGACAAGAGATCCGTATTTGAAAGCAGAGGTGAAGTAATTGCGACGCGAATCTTTTTGTTTCATATCATCATAATATATTTGCAGATGCTCAAGAATATCAGATTTTGGTGTTTTCTTTTCAATATGAAACACCGCAGGTACTTTCGGAGTGCAGTTAACAATCCCTTTGAGCAGCAGACAGAGCTCATGATAATCACGCACGTTGAGAAATGAGATAGACTCGGGAATCATTTGATCATCTAGAGAATGTGGCATAGAACTTGTTCTTGACACAACGGATGCGTCTTCAGATATTTGAACGCCAGCTTTTTTCCTTTTTCTCTTTGCTTGACGTGTAGAAACATTCTCAAGCTGTTCGTTCACGCGTTGTCTACCATCCTCACGCTCTGAACCTTCATCCTCTTTATCACTATTTCCATCGTACCCGCTATTGTTGGCCAGACCATCCTTTGTCTTTGAGTTGGTAGCCACCACAGAACCCTCAACGGATTCATTTGAAAGCAAGCGAGTCTCGGGATCCTTTTCGATGAACTTACAAGTACCATATTGATCATCTATGTTATCGTAATCGAAATCGGAGTCTTCGAAACTAGATACGGAAAATAAGACACGCAAGTATAAAATTGAGCGGAAATCGATTGTAATGCTTTGGCGGCCGGATTGCCAGACGCTTGTTGTTAGATCGTTTTCGACTATTGTAATATTTTTCGCATCTTGAAAATGAGACATTATGTCAGATAAAATTGTATGGTGCAATGGACGAGGCGAAAAAAGTGATTTATATATCCTTTGAATCAGGGTTTGATAGCAAAGTATAGTGCATAAACCGATTCGATCGAGGCACGATTTGTAACGAATTATCAATATTATGATCACAATAGCAACATTGGAAAAGGGGTTATAATTTAAGGATTACATTGATTATAATAAGACAGGAGGATTGTGTTAATATTATGGAAGTGATAGATATGCAATAATAGTAATGAGTGCAGGTATTCATTCTCCTAAAATATCATCCAATAATTTTTCCATATCATTAACGCTTGGCACTCCATCCTTAATGGTTGTGCTTGAAGAACTGGGAGTCGATGGTTTTCTTATTCGCGACCTTGCAGGTTGAGTGGCTTCTGTTACAACTAAACAAAGAAAAACAAAGAAAAACAAACACACACACAAACACATAAGCATTTGTTATTACCAATGGCAAAGTTAAACCTAGTATTTGCACACACCATTCTCATCTAGTGACTTTAAGAAGTCATCAATAACTTCGCCTTTGATTTCCATTGTTGGCTGGGTTGTTGACTTTGCAGATTCCAACCTCGAAGATTGTGATACTGTAAAACCTTAAGAATGCGATTTGATCATAATCTTGTCAGCGGGGTGCATAAAATTCTCTGGCGCGCCAGATAGTATTGACGTTCTGCCTTTGTCAACACCTTATTATCGGTAATGTTTAACCAATTGCAAGATCAAGCGGGGACTAATTACATATCAAGCGTAAAGATTACTAGTGTCTTTGCAAATAAGTACCTCGCGTCGGTGGCTTTTTTGCCTGGATTGGTGGTCGGTTTGTATTTTCATTTTGGGACTTCTTTGTTAGGGTTTCCTTAACCGATCTTGTCGATTTTGGCATTATTGGTCCTAAAATGTTTAACATCTCATTGAACCCCTTTCTCATAAATTTCAAGAATCTTGTTATTTGCTGGGGGGTTTTCGTTTGTCAAAAAGTTTCGTTTATATAAACACATACCCCAAGACTACCATTGCCCAAATTGAGTCTGTCTTCTAACGAAACAGTGCTTAACGAAAGCTCTAGATCATCCAAGCGAATGTTCACAAGATCGTTGTAAACCTGCAGATTATAATTATTAATTTATTCACGATGTGATTAGAAAATGATTGAAATCAGCCGTACCTCATCAGTACTTTGAGTAGCTTCAGTAAATTCTTTTTCTTCCGTAAACTGAAAATACGTTGATGGATCGTATGGTTCATTATCTGTAATGCAGAAGAATCTTAGCTTTGCAAAGTCAGTGAACGCACTTAAAGTTGCAACTTTAATTGGGTAAATGCCTGCCTGACTTGGTAATCATTGTCAAGAAATCAGCTGTCTTTTTATTAATGTCATCTTCCCCGGCCGACTCTTTGAAATCAAATTGGTGTGTTATGAAGCATGCAAAGAACAGTGAAAGCAAATACCTTTCTACGTCTTCATACCATCAGATATCTCCCTATATCTATATAAATTATTGCCAAGATTCCTTCGACGATAGGCATGCTTCGCAGCTATCAATATGGACATACATAATTGAGCTACATTCGATCAAAGCTTTTATTTATCATGGATACATACATGTTTCTCGCTCAACGTTCTTAGCTCCTTCTTCTTTCCCCTCTTCTTCTTCTTCTTTTTCACATTCTCTTGTCTTACGTCCTCTTGCTTTCAATTGACGCTCTCTACGCTTTTCTTGTGCCTCCTTTGCTGCCTCTCCACCTTGTGAGCGAAGCTTAGCGTGATATCTTCGTGAATTTTCTTCTCTGTGTCGATCAGGTTTCATTGATATTAATATATGAATATGCGAGATTAAACGCCCTTCTAGTGGGCATTTGGGGTAAGCCGTTCCAAACTGAGGAATGTACTAACCTTATTAATATGAAGTGTCACAATTAACTCGGTGTGAATTTTACTATTACTACTTGTGGATAAATATTATTAATATAAGATTATCTCTGTATTAGTATAATAATAAAAACATTAGTATTAATATGAAACTGATTTACCATGGAACTAAAGAATTACAGCACTATTAAAAAAAGAGCAAGGAGAAAAAATCGCCCCTTGTGTTTTTAAAGAAAAGAAATTTATCAAAATAAGAACCAAGAAACGAATATAGTAACAGACTTGATATTAATTATGACGTAAATTTCCGCGTAACTCCAGTGTTACAGAAAATATTCGATCGGGCAGATATCACAGTATATGCTGATTATAAAATGATTATAATAAGCGTTGCTAAAAGTAGATCAATTGGTCTTAGATTCTGTGGTGCGTGTGTGTGGTCTATAAACAATTAGTTCTTTATACAGTGCGTTATAAAAGTCTTTGGACACAGATATTTAGCTATAACTTCGACACAGCTGCGTTATATAAGATGATTAAATACGCGTTTGAAATAGAAAGCTAAAAACTAGACAATTTTATTTAAAAAGTTAATTAAGTATTTGTTTGCCTTTATTATCAACAGGTAAGCTGATAACGTCCCTTAATTGACCCAATTAAATTAATTTATAACATATTATCATTATCCCATTTATACATTATAACGATAATTGTTTTAATTCCTTGGTTGTCGTTTCCCTACTCTTCCCTTCGATAGAATCATGATTTGTTGGAGCTGCTACTTCTTATTAAAGCTTCAGAAATGTGATATCAACATGAATTGGTCAGCCATGTTCGGACAGAATCGGAAGAGACTGTGAGACTTCTAAGATCCCGAAAGGGGAGGCAATCATTTCATTTCACCGACAGGTCCAAAACCCTGCTTATAAAAATTTCATCGCCAGAGTGTGTTGAAATAGTAATATAAATTTGCTATAGTTTATTGAGCAAATAATAACTTATAAATAAAATACTACGATCGATGGTGAAACTATTGCCTACGATTTTTGATTGGACTCATTCACTAGGAGCGGCTAAGAACGAGTATGTGATTAGACGCGTCGAAATTTATCGCATTTTTATAATTAATACACTCTTCAATTAATATTAAAGATTATTATTAGTTGTTTTTCTAAGAGTAGTTTTATTCTTGTGCGTTGTTGTTGCTGTACGGAAGTGTCTATTGCCGACAGGCAGTAGTTAAGCGGATAATAATAATATTATTATTTTTATTATTTAATTAGATAGTAGAGCACGACATTTCGAATGAGAGTTTATACCTTGGAAGTAGAAGGTATAAGAGCCGCCTGCAAATTTAGCTACGCCTTAATTGACGCGAGAGATCACGTTTTGAGCTAAATTTTGAGAATATCCCCCAGTCAATTTGAACACAAATGCTTGTCATCAATAAAGACATCAAAGTCGTGGTGTTTGTTTTTAATTCATTGTCCTTTGTTCTTGAAAAATGTCCCTCAGAATTAGTTTAATTTGTTGCAGGAAGATAATTTACCAGAAGTTTTTGAAACTAAAATTTTTTTCAATGTAAAACTTACCGCTGTTACTTTTTTGGGGGCAGTTGACAAATCCTCGTGATATGACAAGTCATAAATTAATACTACTATTGCTGTAACAACTTCACACTGGTCCGACATTCTTGAATTGCATTCCAATTGTAACGCGATTAATCACGTTCTCCGGTTAGACAGTTGGCTTTCCCTTGCTGGGTTAAAATAAACACCTTTCTTGGTAAAACTGAAGTAAAACCAAATTGAGCGAATAATATGTCACTGAATCTTATTTGTTTCCTGCATAGTATCAATTCTGAAATAATCACTTTTAATAATTGTTCCAAGTTGGGGATAATTGGGCAACCAGCTCGATAATTTTGAAACATAAATTTCACAGAAGGCAAAAAGGAATTCCTTTTTTTTTCTGACGATTTGTATGGGAGAAAATTTGAAAAAGCAAAATTTAATCTAACAAGACACATACACATTATTATTATGGTGACCTGTCATGTCTTTTGCTCTTTAATCATGTACTATGCCAAAATTGTTATTGGGAGAAAGTTGACTGTATGATTAAAGGAGTGTTAAGATATGATGCCACTGAGAGACTAGGATTTTTGTGGTGTATAATTGATACCTCGTTCAAACCCAAAAGAATTTATTTGGGACACACATGGCTTTAGCCAAAAATAGGTTCTACATTTTATTCACTATCACTCAATTGCCAAGATATCGTTGTACGTATACCCTACAACCATCCACTGGGATACTTGGTCAATTCATCCGATTCGGTTTTAACTTTCTTATGTATAGGTCGCAAATTTCTCAGCGGAGTATGAAACCGAAATTCAATCATGATTTCTTTTTGAATCTCTATAATAACCAATCGATGAAAGAACGTAAATGAGAGAATGAGTAATAATGTATAAATTACAAAACGACTGGGCGGATCTTGGCGCGTTCATCACGCTTATTTGTTATTGGTCCAATTACCTTTGGGGAGAGCATCAAAAACATCCCGATCAAATTCACCATTCTTATCCAAATTCAGCCCTCGGCTCTCGTCCTCGATTTTACTCTTCCGCCTCGGAGGTTTCTGCAATGTATTCTTCCTACTACGGTTGTTCTTGCTGACAGTCTTTTTAGATACTTTGTAATTTGCTGTAATTAGGCGGGAGTGGGGTAGCTCGTTCCATGTTTCTTGACACGGTAAGTCTCTCTCATTTGGCCTGTCTATGATTGAGTTGCGTTCTATTTCAGTGTCTTATCATATGGAGAAATTGAGTATTAGTTGGGACGTCATGGCATATCTTTGTTAGAACATGTTTATCCTATTCATATATTGCCTCTCCTAATAGCCAAGCACGCAGGGCCCCACCTCTATAGGTTCATTACCTTCCTCCATCTTGAGCATCTCGCTTTCATTTCTCATTTGTGAACATGACGACTCTCCACCAAGCATCATGTTATCATCATCAAATTCCATTTTCACAGGAACAAACATTGGAACAGAATTCCCTGGTTCGCTATAGCTCGGATGTCGTTGTTGTAACGTATGTGATCGATTCTCATCCACATTACGTTCTATACTTTCTTGATTGCGCTCACAATTCCTGGAAGGCTCACAAACGCCATTATTAAAGGGTGATGATAAATCTGGAGAGCTACTAATGATGTCCATGCGACTCTCTTCATCGCCTATCAAGCTTTCATCATAGCACTGTTGGCTTTGATCATTTGAATCAGCTGGCTGCTCTTCTCTCCCTTCCGCATCAGCCGCTGATTTATAATAGTCTACAGACAAAATTTGTGTAATGTTATAAAAAAGCGATTTGATATTACCACTAATATTCTAAAAGTCCTCACCTGAAAGACTTTTGTGCCCCTTTCCTGTTTCGGTATTAAGCTTTTGTAATTGTATACCAATACCTAATTAACAGCAACAACCTTAGTACACAGGGATTTTTTGATATAGTTAAGATGGCATACCGGACAAGACCGACCTCTGATTTCCACACAGCTGCACCCAAACTGTTTTAGTAATGCCAAACATTCGTTCCAGATAAGCTCAAAACTATCTGTATAATAGGCAAAAGTTTTTGATTTCGAAAAATTATCACAGTCTCCACAACCAAGTAACTTTGGTGGCGCTCCTGCTTCGGGCTTGCGTAATTTGATCTGGTATAATTATAGACTTGGTAAACAGAAATCTATCAAAACGATTACTCGTGCTGTATTGGATTAATTTTTATCACCTTTAACATTACTGATTTAGTTTTTAGCTTCACGTCCTTAAGCCGCTTAACCGCTTCTTCACATAGTTCATGGAGAAATTTCTAAAATTTGGTGAACAAATTTAAATTTAGTAAAAATACAATATTCGCGAGACCATGCAAATCTACACTATCGCTTTTATTAATTTACCTCGACCTGCTCATCATTTTCAAATCTCACGCCCCAGGCAACTTCGGCTGAAACGCTTTTTCTAGGGCTATCTACTTGTATTGACCTTTTATCTATTCCTCTGGCAAAATTGTATAGCGTTTTGCCGGCCTTGGGTCCAAATTCTGCCTGCAATTCACCCATAGTTAAATTTTTAAGATCTGCTATTGTGATTACTCCCTACAGAAAAGCGTTGATTCTAACGTGAGATGTGCGAATAAGCATGAAATATGATAAACAGTCGAATTACCTTTTCTCCTAGTCTTTGCGCCATTGACGAGCCTACACCCGGTAGGCTGTCAACATTTTGATTCTCTAGAAATTCGTCAATATAATCATCTTTTATATAAAATTGGCCGCGTGGTTTAGCATAGGTTGTGGCCATCCTGTCAACACGTATGTATACAAATTCGACGTCAAAAAGTTAATCATGATTAGCAAACAACTCATCGAAACTTACCTTGCCAATAAGATATTCTTTGAAATACCCATGCTTACATCGCATCGAGTCTCATTCTTAATCTCTTTTCTGAGCTGCCTGGCAAATTCCTCTGCATCTCCGCCATAGTCCTCCCTGACTGTGCGTCCGACTTCTATCAAAGCCTCATCTATGCTGAGAGCCTGCAATTCTGTGGCATACTTTATTAGAATCTCATAGAACCTAAGGCTCACGGCGTGATACTTCTCAAATTCATACGGAATCGTAATCAAGTTTGGACATAATCTCTGCGCGTCTCCAACGCTTGTAAGTGAAAAATTTTGGGTAATTATTTCACAAATGATCGTGATCAAAGTCATCAATAATTTGAATTTTGAGAGACTTACTGCATCCCATTCGAGATACCATATGACCGCGCAATATAATTAACCGAGGCTATTTCGCTGGAGGAATCTATCTTAGTTGAGGTACCTTTCGCATGACAGACACCCACCTTTTGGTATTTCGATAATAAGTAATTCAAAATTATTGAAGAATATTACGTATCATAAATGGTATGAGATTTCACGTTACCGGCCTATTTATTAAATGCGGACGGTCTAGCAAACCGACCGAGGCGAAGAATGCATCGAAATCAACGTGCCTTCATCACGGGTCATTTTCCAAACACCAATCATGAAGTCGTCAGTCATTACTTGTAATGAAAAACTCGTGCAACGTTTCTTCAGCCAAATATACGTACATCACAATTTGATCCTCATCATCTGTTCTTTTTGTTCTTCTTTCTCGAAAAGTCGATTGATTGTTCGCTATCATTTGTTTCAACTCCGCCCGCCATGTCGACAAATGATGTAACCGCGAATTTTTGTAAAATCTCTCCAAAAAGTCGGGCGCAATGCTTGTATTCTGTCGATTCCATCCATTCGCAAGGTCGGATTCAGTTAACTCTAACCCAGTCTGACAATGCGGAGAAGACTCGTGTGTTTGAGAAAGTGGTTGGAACATTAAAGAAAGTAATAGCAATAGATGAGAGATTTGGAAGTGATCAGCTGATATATCAAATTATAGATGCAAATAGAAAATTGAAATTGGCCGTTCCGAATGGTCCTGAAAATCGTGGGTTTAAAGCACTATGATTAGGGTAATTGCGAATTCGAATTTGTTGCAAAATAATAATAAATTATTTTTATCATTGCTTCCGTCTTTCTTATTTGATATCCCGTAATTTTTTTATCATATGCATTCCATTGACGACGTATCCTCTTAGTTGTATTTGCATAACGAATATTTTTATTACCGCGTATAGGCATATTAATGAGAATCGGGTCTTAACAAAAGCCACCTTGAAAGGATTGTTCAATCTAATTGTCTCAATGAGGCAGGATACAATAGTCAGGTTGCTGCAGAAACCCGTTTATATCACCAAACAACAAACAAGATTGATTGCAGTGGTGTCGAAAACATGGGAATCGTACAAATGAGAATCGGGAAAAGGTGATTGAATTTCGTTCTACGTTGTTTTAAAATAATGTTAGAACTCGGGTTTGGAGTATTGTAATTGTACAATTATGCTTGAATATATGCTGAATGAATATTTTTAACGAAGCTGTTCACAAAATTTTATAATAAATGTAAATTGTTAAGTAAACTATTTTTTAAATGTTCATGTCGTAAAATTTTATTTGTCTATTTTCGATAGCATGCAAACATGCTCTAAGTAAGTTTAGAATTCTATGCTTAGATAACATTTTGTAAAAACATTGGCTATAATAGTAATGTGCCAACATTATGGCTGGCCCGTGACTTTTGAGTCGGCACTGTATATATCGGGGTGTGGCTTGGAAATTTGTTTATATACCCTTCTTTCTGCGCGTCTCTCAAAAAAACCTCCTATTTCAAATGCTATTTTTCTTTTACCTCTATCGCGAATTTACAGAGGTTGACCAACTTATCGAGAATTTTTAAATAATGAAAATTTTTTTGGTCGAGTTAAGCCAAAACCGACATCTCCAGGGACCGACTTATCGAGGCTGACTATATAATAATACTATTATTACGGTACCATGAAGAATGCTAAGTACACAAGCTTTCTTTTTTAGAGCTAGTACACACAGTACTGGTACTAGAACCAATGTGGTACGGGTAATCGATAGAATCTAAAGTCTTGATATCAAATAAGGCAAATTTCGATTTCCTGCAAATTTATGTCTTCAAGAAGTGATGTTAAAAATTTCGGACCCTGTTTATCATCTATTACTATTACTACATGCAACTCCACTCTGTTCCAATGTGAGGCAGCCTTCTATATTGAAGAAAACGAGTTTATCGAAGCATAAATTAGCAGAATATGCTGTCTTTAAAGGATATATAATATATAATACTTTAATATTAAAACCGGAGATTCGGAAAGAGACCATTCCAATACTAAAGTCCATGAATACCACCCAAGAATACTACTCAAGAATACCCAACGTTATTATTGTTTCCTCTCAACCTTCGTAAGCCGGGAAAACGACGGAACGGCAAAAGAAGGATAAAGAATTGTTGAAACATTACGGCGGCGCCGGCGAAAGAAGAAGAAAATGGGAAATGGCTCTCGCTCAATACATCCCCTGCGAAGCTGCCATCCCACCGACAATACCGAAGGAGGCGGACTGCAAGCTGATAAGTCCCCCCATACCTGTAAGGACGATGGAGGAGGAGGAACGGATGGTACGAGGGAAAGCAGAGTTCTTCCCTGCCGGATGACTAAAAACAGATGCTTTGGCCGAGACAGCGCGCACTATCATGAGTAGACAAATGCCAACATTGACAATTATGAGCAAAATCTACTAGTGCTGTTAGGCGCTAGTCTCCCCTTTCCCCGGCTTTTCTGGCGTGAAAATACATGTCAGAGAAATAAAGGACATTTATGGTCTCTTCTTGGGTTGAATAATGGGATTAGGGTGGTGGTGGGCTATACGGTGGTGGCTGCGGACAATGATGGTGTTCTATTCGTTAGAGCACTGATATATATACGCACATAATTATAGTGATAGGTTTTATTTTGTAAATGTCATTTAAATATTGTAAATAAAGTATCATGTAACATGTTAATATCGTAAATAAAGTACCTTAAACAGTTCGATATCATGATAATGTCGATTATAACGATTTCAACCAACATCGCCTGAAAAGTTTTATTCCCACCGATACATACGGAGGATTCCTGTAATGCAACATGCTTTCGAAATAATGGAAAAACGCATACATCGAGTTTATGGTCGTAAAAATATGTTGCTCGATAATTCTGTGCTGTATACGGGCTTTCAAGAAGGGACTTGGCTTAATCGAGCAAATGCAAAAAGGTTGCGGTTTTACAATCATAATTGTAATCATCCGCAAAACATTGAATCCTTATTCGAACGTATCATTAGGCTTTACAATCCACGTTAAAGATAGCGGTTAATACGCATAAATTCTTCTGCAAGATGAAATCATAGAAGCGGTTTGTCAAGCTGATTTTCGGTAAAAACACGCTCAACAGACTGCATCGTAGAAGGGTTCCTGTTTTAGTATCGGAACATCTAGAAGGAAACAAACGTGGATGTGATGATACGGACGTATAGGAGATGGAAGCATAACTTGAGATGTTGCAACAAACGTGGAGATCTAACGTTACGAATCATCGGGGAAAGACTCGGATGATGGGATAGGATACTGCCGCGAGTAAGTTATTTCAGACACAGTTATCATAACCAGACGTACAGGAGGCGGAGGCATAACCTCAGAATGTCAATTAGTAGGCAGTGCGCTTCTTCTGTGGGCTAGGCGCTGAATGAGTCGTCTATTCGATCACTTGGAGCTTGCGAATCTACTTATTCTGAGGTTATATTATTACGAGAAATAGGCGATTGGTAGAGATCATACAATAGAAGAATCAGTCCTCTAATGGTAAAGCTCCTCAATAAACAACGATTACAACGCATTCAATTAGCGTCTGGCGCCGAGAATAATTCCTAGGATGCAACAAGAAAGCAAGATGGTAAGTACCCAATGAACAAAAAAGCTGTATATTACTTAACACGCTACCACTAAACTGTAAAATTTATCCCCATCATTCAGGAGGAAGCAGATACAAGACTGAAAGACATATTCGAGCAACACTGTATATATAGATGGGTGGGATACTTTGCCCGGTCACCGATCACAGTATGTAATGAACGGTATGAATTGTTATCGTCCTCTCTTGCAACGAATTATGGGATATGATCCTCTGGTCGCGTAAAAAATTAAGATCCTTTCTTCTTATCAGGCTTCGCTTTGCGATCAACCCGTAGAGGGACTTTCAGTAGTATATATTCTCCTGAACATGAAGACATCAACTATACTTTACAAGTAAGAATAATCAAAGTTATACTATTCGGAAAATTTTGCGGTTTGTGGGAAGAGTTCTTGGATGTGAGGATAGACTCGGCTGCAAGTAATTTTATTCCAGACACAGAGTTATCATAACTAGACGTCTTGGGAGGTGGAAGCGTAACTTGAGAATTCCCCTGTCGTCGTTGCTTGACTGTATTCGCACCTAATGTGGGTGGAATCCGCGTGGTGTGATTCGGCCAAAGTTAAGAACGAGGTTATCCTAAATGGTACATGACATTAGCCATAATCGTGTAACCCAATTACCATTCATTTTCAATATCCCACATACTTTTCATTGCGACTTTCATCAAAAATGTCTGCTCTTAGTCAAATAACGGATAAACTCGTAAAGAAATACAACAAAGAAACGTCCCAGAGTCTCAAACTGATCGATATTTATCTTGTTTATACATTATTCTCCGGAGTGTTTCAATTTGCTTACTGCGTGATTGTCGGAACTTTCCCGTATAATGCATTCTTGGCTGGATTTATTTCAACTGTTGGAAGTTTTGTATTAGCAGGTACGTTAACATGCAATCAGAGTTCGAATGTATGAATAAGAGTCGTATCGATCAATGTTTGCGAATAGTATGATTGTTAATTATCGAGAAACAATTTTTAATGCTGGACTTTTTGTTGTATAGCAAACCTGAGAATACAAACGAATCAGGCGAACACGAGCGAGTTTAAGGGCATTTCGCCTGAGAGGTATGGCTACTTAATCATTATTCTTAATGATATATATTATGATGTGCGTAGATTTAACCAGTTCTATCTGTTAATTCAGGGCATTTGCCGATTTTGTTTTTTGTTCAATTCTTTTACATTTTTTCGTTGTAAATTTCATTGGATGAGAGCACGACAGAAATCGATACCGATGAATCAGTATTTTTTCCGGAAATATCATTTCTTCATTATAGATGCATTACATATATACCAGTCTGTATATCTATAGAAAAGTTGTTCCTCCGCCAATGGTCCAGAGGGCCACAAATCGACTACACAGAATTAAATATGTACGTTGTCACATTATCGTATGAAACTGTACATAGTATCATACTGTTCACGGCTGTCGTCTCGTTAATAACCAGTATTTCAACCATTATCTTTATCTACTCGTCCATAGGTTGTTATCTCTAATTCTCAACAAATCCTAGTAGATTTTTATTCTCCTCAACAAGATCTCCGACTTTGTAGTAGATCTTGTCGATAGTACCAGTGACTGGAGATTTAATGAGATGCTACAAAGGAATGGAAATTATGAATATGTAGTGTATACCGATGTGCATCTTGGTAGTTTTTAACCCCCAGCCAGTTTTGAGGAAACACTTCTCGATGTACATATTGCTCGTAAGTAAAGTATAAATCGTACCTCCATCTTCATGGCTTCCAGAACTATCAGTGGAGTTCCTTTCTCAACTGTTTGTCCAGATTCCACAAGAATCTAAAAAGTACAATTTATGGTTGACTATCCAATTGTTAACAAAATCGGTATACCATTCCAACAAGTAAACTGACCTGAGATACTCTACATGGCATAGGAGTCTTAACTGATCCTGCCGTATCACTTCCAGTTTCCTGAAGATAGTTAGGCTCAGGTATCATTAAAACGGTCCTTAAACCCTGTTATATATAGACGAGAATGGTTAACAAGAATAAAAAGCCATGTCTAAAAGTATTGCAGACATTACCTCTCCAAAAATAACTACTTTCTGCTGCTTATCAAACACTACATGGCTTTTAAATCTCCTGTCCCCAATATTTGCAATTATTTCACGTTCTGTTTCATTCCAAGTAGCTGTCACCTTGTTGAAAATTGCCGGATCAGTCAATGCAGACATTATTGTAATGTCGTATGATCCATCTTTGTTGAACGTTATATATGTATTGAATTCCGTATTATTATTATCACCGAGAATAATCTGTCTCGTGTGAGTTGAATTTAGCCGAGTTGATGAAAGATAAGACCATGGCGAGAAGGGATCTATGTAAAAAACAAGTAATCTTTAGAATACAGATTATAGTCATGTTATAATGTGCATTGTTATGACAACAATAAGAGTATAAAGAAAAACTAATCACACCAAGACTATTACTAGCTTGATTCTGTATTTTGCCTAGCTCACACAAGACAATAGACAGAGAAGCTTGTGCGATTAATTCTGGTGGAATATTTGGATCTGATTGGAATAAATCCTCTCTATGTTTCTATTGGAATAATACTACATTCAATTTAAGAGTTTCTCAAAACACTTATTAGAGTGTACAAATGTTATTAGAACGTACTTCAATAAATCCAGTCTCCACTTGACCGTCAACAAACGCGGAATGCGAAGCTACTTGCTTTAAGAATTCGATATTGGTATTCAAACCAACAACCTAAATGATTAAAATTGTTATAACAATTGTAGGTCTCTTTCAAACACTCGGTTAAGCATCTTCCAATATTCACACAAAATCTAATCCAAAAAATAATTGTCTCCCAAGTTCCTTGATCAGTTTAAATAGAATAATTTTACAATATTCTCACACACCTCATAATCATCCAACGCGTTTCTCAAAGCTCTTAACGCCTCCGCCCGATCACCACCTTTGACAACAAGCTTTGCTATCATCGGATCGTAGTAAACATTAACTTGGTCACCCTGATCAAAACCGGTTTCGATTCGGACAGTAGTAGAGGGCTGAGGCGTTCGAAGATGAAGAAGTGTACCAGTATCCGGCAGGAAATTGCTAAGTTTGAAAAAATAAAGTGAGTAACGAGCAAACAAGCGACTTAATTATTCGACAAACATAATCCAATAATTACTTGGTAGGATTTTCAGCGTAAATACGTGCTTCAAATGCATGCCCGTCGAGTTGAATTTGATCTTGACTTAGAGGCAAAGAATTTCCTGCAGCAACCTAAACACCATAAACCGAGTCTTTAATTCCGAAACACATCAATTCTTTGCCTTCCACGAATTATCTCTTCTCTTCATAACCTTTACCTCGAACTGCCACTGCACTAAATCAGTCCCTGTAACCATCTCTGTAACTGGATGTTCAACCTGCAACCTCGTGTTCATTTCCATGAAATAAAACTTTCCATCTGTAGTGTCCATAATAAACTCCACTGTCCCAGCACCAACGTATCCGACCGCCCTGGCTGCAGCTACAGCTTTTCTTCCTAGTTCATTTCTTATGGCTTCATCCAACATTGGCGCGGGAGCTTCTTCCAAGATTTTCTGATGTCGTCTCTGTATAGAACAGTCTCTTTCGAACAGATGCACTACATTATTATATGTATCCGCGAATATTTGTACTTCAACGTGGCGAGGTGTGAGAAGGTACTTCTCGAGTAAGACTTGATCATCGGAGAAAGAGTTCATTGCTTCACGCTTAGAGGAGTTTAGTTGGAGCTCAAAATCGGATGGATCGTAAACTATTCGCATGCCCTTGCCTCCGCCTCCTTTAATGGCTTTAATTAGGATAGGGTAACCAATTTCGAGAGATTTGGATTTGAGAAAGGAGATTTCTTGGTTTGCGCCGTGATATCCCGGGACAACAGGTACGCCAGCTGCAGTCATTATTTCTTTGGACTCGCTAATTATGTGCGACGGAAAAGATGTAGATTTAGGTATGATAAGCGACGGCTGGGCAATTAGTTGAAAACAAAACGGGGTAGACATTAAAGGTATATCACAAACCATACTTGCTATCTCAAATAAATACCTCTTTGATCCCATTGATATCATTGCAGATGCTGGTGGTCCTATAAAAATGATCTTTTCTTCAGCTAGGCGAGATGCGAACGTCGGGTTCTCAGACAAAAATCCATATCCGGGATGAATGGCCTAAACAACAACAAAAAAGTACTAACAAAGATCAATTAGTAGAACCAAGATATAGAAATCATCTGACGTTTCTTTCTATTAATTAGTGTGCTACAATCGATCGATTGTACCTGAGCCCCGCTGCGCCTAGCGACTTCGATAATCTTATCAATATTTAAATAACTTTCGGATGAAGGCGCTGGACCTATCAAGTAAGCTTCGTCAGACTAAAGAAGAGACCCAATTAACAGAAATTACACGAATAGTAATCAACCATAATATTTGACATTTATTACCAGTTTTGTGTGAAGAGCATTTCTGTCAGCTTCACTATATACACAGACTGTCTTCACGCCCAGTCGTTTCGCAGTACGTATTACGCGACATGCTATCTCGCCACTACGCGACGAACGTATTACATTCAGTATTCACAAACTTATATTGCAACCTGAATTGTAATACTGATATTGCTTTCCTACCGGTTGGCAATGAGTATCTTATCGAATAGAGGTTTACCAACTATTTGATGATATTTCTGTGAGCTATTATATTACACCAACCGATTTGTCCATAAAACAATCATGTATCCTACCTGTGCTTGAGTAACTTCGAATAAAGTTCCCTTTAGCATAATATCGGTTAGAGCTTGAAAATAACATCGAAGCTCGAAGTAGAGTATACATAGTAGACAATTAACTAATTATGTTTGCAGCAAGGCCAGATATGTGAACAATAAAGGAACGCAAAACTCCAGTTATGTGAACACAGAATTTCAGGGGGTTTAAAAGCCGTTAGAGCGCCACGTCTATTTGTATTATTATCTTCTGGGCACAAAATCAACTATTTTATTTCACCCAAAGTAAAAGAGACTTTTGATCGAGCATCGTTATTCGAATCTTCAGTATACAGTCACTTTTTCCTTATTGCAACGGAATCAGGTGTAATTACAAGCCGCACCAGGATAATGCAAGAATAAAGTGACATTCCTGCAAATTCAATTTTCAGCTTTCGAACATTCTCCAATTTTGGCCTACAAAATTATAATGTCCTATTACTATTTCTAAAATAAAGAGCATAGACATTCTCTTTTAAATAACAATGTCTTCTACTCCTACTCGTGTATTGACACCGAATTGGACAGTATTAGTATGTACCACAAAATTCTGCTACATAAATTGCAAGCTTTTTGATTTTTTTCCCCTTGCATTTCAAAAAATGGCAACCAAGACAACCTACATTATTGGGAGCCGTAAATCACAACTTGCCCTCGTGCAAACTCAGCAGGTGCACGATGCACTCGCCGCTGCCTATCCGTCACTCACTTTTCCTATAACTTCTATGACCACTGTAGGAGATCATATTCTAAACCAACCACTGTTTCAAATAGGCGAGAAGTCGTTATTTACCAAAGAATTGGAAATTGCCTTGCAAGACAAAGTAGTCGATTTTGTAGTTCATAGTCTCAAAGACTTGCCCACTAATTTACCAGATGGTATGACTATTGGGGCTATATTGATGAGAGAAAATCCTAAAGATGCCTTGGTTATAAAAAAAGGATTGACTGCGAAAGGATTGGAAGATCTACCCAAAGGCAGTGTTGTGGGAACGAGTAGCGTGAGGCGCATCGCGCAGTTGAAGAAGGCATTTCCGGATCTTGAGTTTCAGAATGTTGTGTGTATGATTGATTGATTATATGTTTGTATAGTGATGTGTGATTCGAGATATAGCTTGATGGAGAGGCGGTTGCATTTGCACTGTGGGTGTTGAAGCAGAACAAGAGCACTAATTTTTTACAGTGTATCTGATTACTGCTTGGGCTTAATTTCAAACTCATTATTCAGAGAGGGAATCTGTAAGTACTTTTAACCTACTAGTTGTCATACCAAAGCTTTATATATGGTCTCTCATCTTGACAACATACCATTATGTAATCGTGTACTTTAATTTCATGCACTGACTCACTAATACATCGCCTTGAAATTCTCGCTTGCCTTCTACAAACAGCAATACTCGCCTTTCCAAACTAGATGCCCCAGATGGCCCATATTCGGCTATAATTCTTGCGGTAGCCGGTCTCGTCCGTCTTGGGCTTGATGATCGTATCACGCAGATCCTTCCCGAGTCCGTCATTCTTCACGCTGTTGGTCAGGGTGCATTGGCGATTGAGTGCCGTGCGGAAGATGCAGATGTTTTGCAATTGATCTCTGTCCTTGATGACCGCGACACTCGACTACGGTGCACTGCCGAACGTGCACTTATGAGAATGCTCGAAGGAGGGTGTAGTGTTCCAATAGGCGTTAGTACCGAATTTCTAGACGGTCAAGATGAGAAAAAAATATTAAAGCTAAGAGGATTAGTGGCAAGATTAGATGGATCGGAGGTTGTAATTAGTGAAGCGACAAAGGAGATCGACGGCGACGGAACTGAAGCGGCGACTGAGCTGGGACAAGAGGTGGCGAAATCTTTGGCGGAAAAGGGGGCAGATAGAATTCTAGCCGAGTTAACAAAATCGCGTAAATAGATCAGAGGAAGGAATTAATTACTTTATCAGAGAGCTCGTCTACTATTTGCAGGGCGTAAGTTAAAATTTCTTTTTTTTTATTTTCGATCACTGATAGGTCTATTATCTACATCCTCGCAAAGTTATTAACTTTCGAGATAATGACTATTTAAACGGAATTAACCAGATCCCAGATACATTTAAATATACTATATATTTCTCTCTTGGTGCCAGGCTCGGGTTATCATTTACCAAGACTAATCATCCAATTCAGGCTCAGGTGATCCCATTTCATTGGCAATTATCGGATCACTTGCAGTATGTGCTTCGTCAGTTCCTCCTTCCAGTGATCCTATTGGATTTTTGTTCGCCGCCTCTATTAATCTATCCATATCACCAGGTTTTCCAAACTCGATTTTTTTGTGTATGAGTAAAACGTGATTTCTTGTAGCTGCTCTGATTGTTTGCCATCGCTTGACAATATATTCTTGATTTGACTCATGATGCTTTAGAGCCTCATAACATTCCTCCAAACTCGGAACTTTGACTACCTTGTGTGCGTTCTTCATCTCTCTCCTTTTAACAACCCAGTCAATATCTGGTAATTCGCCCAAAGGTGCACAAAGCTGTGCTGATCGTTCTGCCGATTGTTTAGATAAATCTGGAATTGGTTGCGATTTCGAAAAGTCCGGGCAATATTGTGCAAATTTCCAATAGATCCATACTTTTTCTCGAGATAACGTGTGTAAAATACGTTCTGTAAATTCCTTACCATGAGGAGGAATATTTTCCAGTTGGGCTGTAATGCTTGTCCATAGTTCTGCTATGCTTTCCTCCTGTTTGGGTGAAATTGAGGGCATAGAAAGCGGAATCATACGAGGATGGATCCGGGCTCTTGCTCCTTCGAGGAATTTGCGTTCCGAGGATGAGCAGCCACGGATGTATTGTAAGATAATAAGAAATTGTACTAGGATAAATTTTCGAAATTCTGGATCTTTCATCTAAATCCCAGCCAAATACAGACATTAGTACGATCTTTAATATTATTTATAATTTTCGACATAACAACTTACCTCATGCTCAAACAATTTGACGCTCGGCAAATACTTGGGAATATGCATATACGCTTCTTTTTCATATTCCCCCTCATCGTCATTGCTCAGTTTCTGCTTTTTATCTGGAACATTCTCTACGACATCCTCCTCTTTATCTCGTTTTCTTTTCTCCCTGTCTGTGTCAACGTCCATTGCATCTTCTTCACGATCCAACTCCATGCTCATCCTCTCATCTTCAACCATCCGCTCTTCTCCACAGGCACTTTCAAATTTATTCACCACTACCCTCATGTCCTCTAATGCTCTATCAACTTCTCCGCTTTCGACAAGTTTCACTGGGTTATTTAAGAGATTTTGTAGACTCCAGAAGGTGTTGCAAGCTTGATTATCGTCAGTTTCGTCATAGAAAGTTATGTTTTCGGAATTACATTCACCACGGGGGTTGACACCAGAGCGCTCACAAAGAGGAAACGCGTTGGAAAGGTAGATCAGAACGCGGCCGTTGAAATGACTATAATTGGATTTGGGTGCTCTGCGAATCAAGTTGTTGAATAGACGGAGGAGTACAAGACCCTTGCCTTTGTTTGGCGTTAGTCCCTATAATAGAAGTGTGTTGCCAAATACGAAGTCAATAACGCGATATACTCATATGAAACCGCGTTACCACGTCGTCAATTGTTAGTATTAATATACCTTCAACAATCTTCTTTTATGCTTCTCAAAAAATTCAAATAATTTCATGGAAACTTCTATGGGTTGCCAGTCAACAAGATCTTCAAAGGCAGCGAGCGGCAGCACTTCCTCACAATATCCTTTATAGAAAAATAATCAGAAACCCCAATAAAAGAGAATAGCAAACATCAAAGGAGCTTTCTCTACCTTCATCCGTGCAATACAGTATAAACTCTAGCCGCTTTCTCGCTTCCATTATATATTCTTCTGAATTACCATCATATTCCTAAACATACTAAGCGTCAATGCGAGATAATAACCCGCTGAATGTCGACTTCTAAATGTATTTTAGTACCAATAGACTCAACATGTGCTTCCCCATTACTATTTCAAACTGAGTTTTCTTTGCATCTGATTTATCAGCAAAGAGAGGACCCAATTGCTGTTGTAATTTCTGAATTGTTAGATTAGGTTCACTGAGGCAAGATTGTATTGCCACATCGAGTTGAGTTTGGAACATGTCTATTGCCTCAAGTGCCATTGCTTGTTATGAGTTCAAAAAGTATAATGTATAATGCGGAACTTTTTGGTATTAATGCAGTATATTAAAGGTTGATTTTGAGTCACGTGATAATCGTCGTTGAACATTTATCAGTCTCGGTTTTTGACAGCAATTACTTGAAGAGTGTAACACGTTCTCCACCAAAAGCACTAACCTTTGAATAAAAAAAAACATTACAAAAGATCCGCCAAGATGAGGTTCGTTGGATTAATCGTTATAAATGGTTGTCGTAAACTTGACTACTATGTTTCTTTATCTTTGGGGGGTGTACGTATTCGTTACTCGTTGCTAATGGACGCGCATTGTTAAGTGAATGAAACGTACACCATGTTCATTTCTAACAAATGTTGCAAGAGTCTGATTATTGTATAGTCTATAGACTTAGACCGCATACTTTATAAGCAGTAATCAATAACGTATTCTTCATAAACAATTATTATGCTATCTTTCCTATTGTTCTAGTACGCTAACAGGAAAGTCTAAATCTGAAATGACAGAAGAAGAGCTCCATCAATTGGAAGAAATGGAATTCAACACAGGACCATTATCAGTTCTACAGCAATCAGTAAAGAACAATACTCAGATATTAATTAACTGTAGAAACAACAGGAAACTGCTTGCAAGAGTTAAAGCATTTGATCGGCATTGTAACATGGTGTTGGAGAATGTAAAAGAGGTATGAGCATATCAATACGTAATTATGACATCGTTAGGACGGTTGAGTTGAATGTACGTGGCCCTTTATTGTAGATGTGGACCGAGACACCCAAAGCAGGGAAAGGGAAGAAAGCAAAGCCTGTGAATAAGGATAGATTCATTAGTAAAATGTTCCTGAGAGGTGATTCCGTGATTCTAGGTAAGTTGATAATTAAACGTTTCCCTGGAAGAGAAACCTTCAATATAATCGTGTCTAATGATTTCACTTTCAATTCGACGTTTAGTATTGAGAAATACTGTTTGATTGACGAGAACATGCGATCCACGAATAAATCCACCAAATTAAAAAGTTCATTGGATCCGAAATCGAAACTGCTTGTTGCGTTTCTTTCGGGTTGCATAATAATAATAAAGACTACATGTGATCTATTGACATATAGTGACTTATCAGTGTATTCAAATCCAACTAAGCCTCGCGAGAAATATAGAAACATTATATAATACTTACTCTGATACCTCACGCTTGCTCATTCTTTCAGCTAAATCTCTAATGTGTCAGAAACTTTCTTCCTTTTAACCTTCGTCTCATAATAATTTTCCTCCCTCCTCTGCTTCGCATTCGGGCCAAGAACCCGTGTCTACGCTTTCTGACCAAATTACTCGGTTGGTATTCTCTACCATATGTCACCCATCTTAGTTGATTTGTAAATATGTGTTGAGGAGACGGATATGAACTAGTGTGGATGAGAAGAGGAGAATAAAAAGTAGCCAGATTAGCGCTATTGTGCAAACGTTGGAAATGACAATTAAGATATAGAAATGAGTTACTTCGGAAATGGTGATAATATGGTACGAGGTTGAAAGAAATGAGTCGTTGCTCGCTTAAACGCTGATAACATTGCTGTCTTTTCCCAAAAGGCGATCTGCGAATAAACCAAGTTTATTGTAGTGCGGTAGATTATTTATCACATGACAAACAGATTATTTGAACAACAGTTAGTTGACAGTCTAAGTAAGTTATACAGAGGTATCTCGTACCTCCCCCGACATTTCGGTATGAGGTTTGACTGTAATAGCCGCTCGATCTAAACAGGCATTAGGCTCAGTATTACATCTCCCGGTTTGCAAACAGGCCTACAAAAGAAACAATAAAGACAGCCAGACATCATGTGGAGGAACATAGAAAGAACTCTTGTTTATGATATCATTACATTTTTAATGCAACTATAACGCGGTTTTGCTTACATGCCCGCGTCAATTAAGGAACTATTTACAAATATAAAGTTTGATGTTTATCGAGCTATTTTTCCGTGTCCGCCACACTTGCGACACATAAGAATAGAATTACAATAATTCCTAGTCGAAATATATTTATTAAGAAAAGGCAATTATTCGACGCATCGTCTAATGAATTTCTTTTTATCGAATGAGCCCGCTTCAATTGATTGTGAAAACGGTGAATTTGCCAAGTCCATTTTGCTCTTATAGAGAATACCTAACTCATACGCACGTGATACAGGCTATCTTATCGTTTATGGTTGATTTTATGTAATTACTACTACTAATTTTGTATAAACAATGTCTGTCATTTCGGCTGTTTCTCTATGTTTGATACACAAAGGACCAAAATACTCCGCCTTAGTAAGCAATGTTAAAAAGAGGCATTCTCATCAAGTGTTACAAGGATTTTACTATTATTTGTATCTTCATTTGCATCTGGATTCTACACTTTATAACACCTTTCTATAGAATGAAATTCGGTAAATTTCTTCAAGAAAATAAAGCGCGCTTGCCCAAAGCGTGGACTGATCAATTCATCAATTATAAGCAAATCAAAAAGTTTCTAAAATCCAATGTTACCCCCAACACTCTCTCATTTGATCTGACCCAACTTACCTGGAAACCAAATCCACCCAATCAACCATCATTCGCTAACAAAGTATCAGAACGTCTCGGTTTATTACAAGTGAATACTACTAAATTCCTTGAATTTCTTGATGCTGAAGTACAAAAGGTATCCGATTTTTTTGAGGAACAGAGCTCACAATTGTTCCGAATGTATGATGCAGCAGTTGGAAAACCAGAAGGCCTAAATCAGAAAGATGCTGATGAATCACTGGAGGGTATCGTTCAGTTGGAGAATTTCGCATTGTTGAATTATACGGGTGTCGTGAAGATATTAAAGAAGCACGACCGACATTCCGGATTGAATATAAGTGAAGCATACCTGTATAGGACTGCCTCCTTACCGTTTGTAAAGATGGGGGATTTATCTACTTTAAAAAAAACCTTAATGGATAAATTTTCTGGATCTGCTGTAACATCCAACAATACAGTCCCGAACCTATCCAAGCGAAAGTATGCGCCATCGAAAGATCACAGTCTCTTCCCGTCAGTTGCACTTCTTCCTCACCATAAGGTTATTGTATCATTGACTGGATCGCATGGGACAGATGTTATCGGGTGCGTATTGGAAAGCATGGCAAAATTCGGTGTCGAAATCGAAGATTTCATGTTGTCCCGATTATACCACAATGTTACGTTTGGCGTCTTGATTGTTCTTCGTTCGAATAGTGTCGAATTGTTTCGTGATCTTGCTAAATCTGCTCAGAAGTGGGATGGTATACTTGCGTTTGACATTCATGACAAAGAACAAACGCTGCCAAATTCTATAGAGGATGCCCCATATGATAATCGTATGAAGTATACTGCAACAGTGTTGAATGGGAATGGTCTGACTGCCCAGTTCCTTAATGAGTGGACTAAGTTACTACTTAGGGAAAATATATCTGTTGAAAAATTAAAGAGGTTGAATGAAGGCAAAGTTTCGTGCGCAGACTATGAATTATCTGTGCCTATAGGGGTCGACATTGATAACCTAAGACAGGATTTGTTTCAGTTGAGCATTAGTCATGGAACGGATGTTGCTCTGCAACCACACGACGTGTTCAGAAAACACAAGAGATTGGTGGTTTTTGACATGGATTCGACACTCATTCGCCAGGAAGTAATCGATGAAATTGCAAGAATTGCCGGTGTGGTAGATAAAGTCGCTGTATGTGCTCCATGTGTATTTGAAGAATAGGATATTGCTATTATTAGTATCAAGTTTGTTAACATTATATATTTTTTCACAGAGCATTACTCATAGTGCAATGAATGGAGAGATTGACTTTAAAGAATCGTTGCGACGTCGCGTAGCTCTTTTAAAGGGAACACCAGTAGGAGTGTTGGACACTGTCAGAGATGGCTTACAATTTACCAAGGGCGCCCATGCTTTATGCAAAGCATTAAAGAAGATTGGGTTTAAACTTGCGGTGATCTCTGGTAAGCTAGTAACCATTTGGCTTGCAAGATGTGGTTCATGTATCGAAACGAAGGGTAGCTTTAATAATCTTTTCACTAAATTAGGTGGATTCATGCCGCTCGCCCAGTACGTTAAACAAGAATTAGGTTTAGACTATGCATTTGCAAATCAGGTCAGATTCAAAATATTTATAAATTCTTGATATCTCTCTCCTGCAAGTGGTGGAAAAGTCATGCTCATACGCTCTACAGTTGAAGGTATCCCAAGATGGTCTAACACTTACGGGCGAGACCTTTGGACCGATTGTTGACGGTGAGCGCAAAGCCGAGTTACTTGAAGTCATTTCCCAAGCGGAAAATGTATCGCTTGATCAGGTGATCGCTGTTGGCGATGGAGCGAACGATCTTTGGATGCTGGCAAGAGCAGGACTTGGAATAGCATTTAATGCAAAACCAAGAGTTCAGGAACAGGTTAGACTTAGTCTACGCAATGCGATAATCAACAATTTTGTAATAGCACTTATTTATGTGTCACGATCAATTTTTTTTGTAGGCGAGAGCACGCATAAATCAGCATAGTCTGAAATATGTCTTATACTTATTAGGGTATACAGATGAAGAATTAAAACAATTAGGTTGTAATGATGCGATTGTGCGTAAGAACGCGAAAAGTTCTCCTGACATGGCTACTTGAATTTATGGATTATATTTGCCTCTGCATTAAGACATTTACTTCACGCATGTCCAGAATGCACAATCATACACATATTTCAGCATTCCATTTGGGTTGGCTGTATACGTAGTCTGAATCGTTTTCTCTTTCTGTGTATAGAAGACAGGAGAATTACCGACCTGGAGTCACGACCTTACTAAATAATGAATAAACTGATATCATGAATGAACCGTTAAGATTAATCACCTTAATGACAAAACCAATCTTCCTGACAAGGTTTTTGACTTCTTCTAAGCTCAATTCAATAGACATTTCTCCAGGCATATTTTCATAGTGATACAGTAATGGACCTGCAAATGACGAGCAATTGGATATAACCCCAACATTATTGTACTTAACAGATGCATATGTATCTCGCTTACCAATGTTTATCCACAATCCGCCTGGCTTCAAAATGTTATAAATTATCTCAATATACTCCATAATATTCTTTGCAGTGTCGATAAAGAAACATGTAATGACACAGTTCCATGTCCCTGCAAAAAAAAAAAAAGAAAAATCTTTAGCTCTATATAATAACAATTAGTAGTGTGATACTGATATTACCCTTATGGCTGTCGTCTCCATATATTTCCACAAAATCACCAGCTACCATTGAAAAGTCTATTCCTTGTGGTATTTCACTCGGCAAAACATCGGGTATACTTATTGGCTTCAGTTGTTCCTCAAAAGAAGGAATATTTGAGAAAGAATGAATGAACGGGTAGATTTCATACTGATGGATGCGTTCGATCCTGTAAAACATCATGTGAGCAATACGATTTACACTGCTTATCAATCAAGTCCCTCCTTTACCTGTTCAATATAAAATGAGAAGCCAAGAGCTAAAACCATCATATCATCAGTCATAACGGTAGTCAGACGTTCATTTATAAGAATTGTCATCAAAAATTACCATGTAGAATGAAAATTCATTTCCTAAAATTAGATATTGATTAGAACACATCTGTCTGCTTTCCTGTGTAATAGCAAGTTTAATTTACCTTGACAGCTAAATCCTATACATAGCAAAAGAAAATGTGGGAATTGTTATTCATCGATATATGTAAACAAAGAACTACTATTACCAACCTGACTTGGCAATGTCAAAGGCTAATCTACCCAAGCCAGCTCCCGGTGTCAATACATTTATCTTAGCCCTAGTGGAATACAATTTAGAGTTAGTGTTATACAGTAATACAAATATTGTATAGTGATAAGAACGTTACCTCTCTGATAAAGGTACCTCTTTGTAATATAAATATTGTATAGTGATAAGAACGTTACCTCTCTGATAAAGGTACCTCTTTGTAGTATTCAAGTAATTCTTGTAATACAGGTTGATAAGTTACGTCCCGTTCGGGTTTTCCCTATCAAGTACACAAGTAATTGACATACAAAAATTGGATTGAGAGACAGCGATAAAGCAGCCAATATTTATTTCAACATACCACGCCATACCTCAATAGACCAGTCTCTTACAAACTGCTTGATCGTACTACGCAGTTTGTCGAAGTCATATTCGGTTATTTCATCTTGTGTGTTTTCATCCTGCTCGCTAGTATGCGTGTGCAAAAGGGAGCTATCCTAGCAAACGGATATTAGTCAATCTTTGTATGGGGAGAAGAATCAGCCAGATCTCAAACGGCATACTTTTCCATCCGAAAACATCTGTCCATTAGTCATAATCTGCTTGACTACTGCATAGTTTTTTCCTATGGCACGGTCGATTGTATTCAAATGATTAAGATAATTAGGAATCAGATTCTTATGTCTCTCTGTAAGCGCATGATAGTCCTTTCGTCTACGATTGTTGGCCATCAGAGCCGATGTTTTGTAGAGCGAAAACGTTTGGAGAACTTTGCGAAAATGCTAATACGTTTAAAAAATACGTAACATTGTTTGAAATATCCTATCATATTATCGTCAAGTCTTAAACATATGCGATTTATGTACCTTCGCCTCTTCTTCTACATGGAGCCTCTCTTCTACATTATCTGGATTGTCGAACATTTTTTAAGAAAAACAAATTAAAATGACTCTTGGAATTGGAAATTTTATTTTTTTTATTTATGATATATTGACATGCGCTTACACAAATTTAAATGTCTGTATGCATCATTCCTTAATAGTCAAGTACCATATTTCAACAATGGGAGAATTTTGAACCGCAAACCCGTTAGTGTCACTTTATATAGTCCCCGCAAAATTATCAGGAATTTACCTGCCAGGTCGCACAAACCGACACGTCGTACAGTCCATAATATTTCTATTTATGGGGAGAAGCCATTTGAGTGTCCAATGAAGGGAGCCTGCGATTATCCGCGAAAAGTAAATTTCACAAATTATTATTTGAAATATGTGTATAGTAATAATTATTTCAACATTACTGAAAAACGTAGATAAAAGTGGCGTATTATTTTCCGATTGAATTATAGTTATTGGATTGACTTTGTGGTGTCTATCTGATAACAATTGATTTTTTCTTTAATTTGAAAAAAAAGGCTTTTAGCACCAGCCACTTAAACAATTGCATTATATTTTACACTTACAAATATTTGGAAAATTAAACGTTATTATTATTATGGCTGTTTACGTTTTTTTGCGCTTATACGTGGACGCGCCCGCGATTATCAAGCCTACTTGATACAACTTTATCTCTTTACTTAGCGCAAGGCAAGAAAAGAAAGTTTGTTGAGTGGTTAAACCAGCAATTACAACCGATTACAAGACGATTATGAGATTACAACTGGTTATGAAACAATTGTAACTTAGTATTAAATGAGGTTTCGAGTTCACACTTAGTATGAAATGGGTATGCAATACTTACAATTCTCTTTTGATATTATTTATTATTGTTGATAGAAAAATGCCAAAAGTATCAGCGAAGACCTACGTTGGAGAATAGTATACCTGCATCATGACGAGTATTCAAACAAGAAGATAAGAAGTCTCTTACATGTTTCTCGGTCTACTGTCGGAAGGGTCCTGAGAATGTATTAGTATAGGGGGGTGTCTACAATCCTTTGTGGGCCCTAAAGGAAGAAGAAAATTGTTTGATGCAAATGACATGGAAGTATATAACATTGGCTTTGTTGCCAACCGATCGAACATAATTATATATATAATGATTTTTCCTTAATATTAAAGGTTCTCAAGTATTTAGTCGAACAGAAGGCGGACTGGTATTTAGACGAGTTGGTTTCTGAGATGAGAAGACTTACTGGGAAGATTATCTCCACAGCGCGCCATGTATTATTGTCTTTGTCTTTTTAAGTAACTAATCTGTGTTTTGTGTGTAGGTTTATCGAGCGTATGTAACAAGGGCATAGCGTTTTTTCTCGTTCTTGTTCTTTTTCCGTAATTTCTGACCTAAGCTTCAATAATTTATTCTCTATTTTTTTAACACTTTCCAATCACCACCACCTTTTCTGAATTTGAAAAGGTATGAGCAAGGTCGCGTTGAATGATTCGATCGTAAGGACAAAAAACTCATGCTCTTTCAACTTCACTTTCTTTTTTGTCTAGCAGGAAATTCATGTGGTTAAAAGGGTTCACCACCACTAACAAGGCATTGATTTGCGTAATAGGATCAGATGGTAAAAACATATCATTAAGTAGAGGCATCTTTCAGCGAGAAGTATTATCTGTGAGAGCTGTCGGTTTTTGTACAGAAACTTGCTGTTCTCGTTTTGCACGCCTTTGATACAGACTGTGACACCTGCTAGAAGGTCTAATTGTGAAGGTCGAGTGTTGGCGGATACTATACGACTATAAAAGACCCTCGTAGTCTTTTTTGTTGGTTTTTGCGTTTTTGGACAATGACATGTAAACGAAGAATTATCAATACCACAAGAGAGACAAACCTTACACATATAACAATGCTAAGACTATAAGACGTATCCATTCTCAATTGTAACACGTATCACACCGTTAGCTAATTCTATTGGTTGACAGTGTTTTCTTGATGGTGATTCATTCTGAAAAGAGCAATAACAGTCAAAGCTCGTTATAATAGAAAGTTGGGCATAGCCCATGAGCACCATTATAACACGAGTCCATAATAACGTGTATGGTTTCTTATAATGGACTTCTTAATGATTGCACGTGCAATTCCATTATAGCACGAAATTTATTTTATACAATTATGCTATAAGTTCACTAATGACTTGCAATAAATGTCGTCAGCATATATCAAGACTGGAGGATAACGCACCTTTGACCCAACTCCACAAGGCACGTTCAACATCTTGTATTTTGAGAGGGCGATTACGCTTCAACTGAGCAGTATATTCATTAGAATTCGTTGCCATTAAGACTGCAGGAACAAATAAAGAACGCAAAACTTCATTAAGACTGCAGGGTCGGTTTTTTCCTTGATTCCGTACTTCGACGCAAGTTCGCCATTCGTTTTTTCTCCTTGTCAAGACATAAACCAAGTGCTTTAACGTTAAATATTTCAGTTTTATACCTAATTTAACCAACCAATCATATTGATTTTGACCCTCTCGTCCTATTGGCTAGCCTTATTTCCATATAGTGCACACTGCTTGTATGCCAACCACGTAGTGGCTTAAAAGTCTTCTGTCATTTAACGCTTGTTCTGGGACTGAAGCGTAACAAAGACCTCGATGAGCCTATACGCCCAACAACTTTACTTCCGTTTTAGGTCAAGTTCAATAGTGAGTGTCGTTACTCATAAATTTAAAAATTTATTCTAATCCTGCTGATTTCGATTCAGACGATGATTTAAAGATTGATAGTGATCTTGATAGTAACAATTCTAAAGATGAAAATAGTAGTAGTATTAGTAGTAATAATATTATTTATCCTATATATAGTTATTTGTTCAATAAAAATAAATTATCATATACCCTACCCGGTGAAATCACCAGGCGGGTTTTACTTGCGTAATTACAAAAATAGAATTAATTATCGATCCTTCGAAAAAGATTATGATATTGATAAAACAAATTAAAGTATTTCTTAGTACTATCGACTGTAAATATAAATAGATGATCATTAAACACCCGCCAATAAATCACGAGCGGACTTTATTTAACTTCTGGCAGTCTGGGAGAACAATGAAATCATGTTAGCATATCAGTGTGAAATGATGATCACTCCTGCTACCAAACTGTTGGGGTAAACTTTACTATTACTATTACATTAGAGTTTACAGGAAAACCCGCACGAGCAATTAATAACAAGGCCGATTTGCATAGGTCGACCCTGTTTAAGTCACAATTAGCAAGTCTCTAAACGCATTTCCAGAATAAGAAGTTCTCTTCCCTAACATGGAAACAAGATTCCCAAGTTGGTAATTGCTATTGTGGGTATTTTCCGCATTATGGCTGTTACACTTGCCTAATTAAACTTCTACAAAAAATTTTGTCGGACTAACAGTCGCCAACCTCATGCGGCTCCCTTTATATGATAACTTGCGGTATAGTAGAGTTATTGAAAACTAACGCGTGACTATTTTATTATCGAATATCGTACTAAATGTTATCGCTTGCTGAAAAGCGCCTTACAGCTTCCGAGACAAATAAGATGCAAGAGATTTTTATCAAGTGTATGTGATACTGTATGGAAACCAGAAAATGACTCAATACTGGAGCAACTTGTGGCAATTCATGGGAAATCACCAAAAACGTTCGATAAAGTAGCAGAAGGTATTCCGGAAAGTACTTCTGGAATGTGTTTACAGAGATGGAGATATCTGCATCCTGAAGATAACGTTTTAGAGATTAAAGGTTATCCTCCCAAAGACAGTAAAGAGTTGGCTAGATTGACAAATAAGTACTGGACTGACGAGGAAGATAAACTTTTAATAGAAGCGGCACGGATGCGAGGTCGGGAGTGGAAACAAATTTCGGAGGAGCATATTCCTCATAGAACATATTCGGGGATTCGCTTTCGATGGTTTAATCATATTCAACCCCAATTGATAAAAGAAAATGTATCACTCGAACAATTCTATAAAATAGCGAATGATATTCGGGAAAATGGCCCTGCTCCGTATTTGGAAAAGTTAAAAGCATTGCAATTTGAGGATAAGGACTTGTTAGGATCGGAAACAGACTTCATAAACTTTCCGATCGAAACTCCCCAAGGAATAAGTAGATCAAGTAGATATTGGACTGCTGAGGAAGATAAAATATTAATAGAAGCAATGCAAAAGCATGGGAGGAAGTGGAAGCAGATTTCAAACGACTATATTCCCTGTAGAACGCACGTGGCTGTTCGTTACCGATGGTTTAATCGCATTCGACCGCTGTTGATCTATGAGTATTTATCACTTGAACAAGGAAAGACTCGAGAAAGCCCCACCTCTGCGTACTTGCGGAAATGGAAATCCATGCGTTCTAGACATGCTGTCATGCTAAGTGATAAGGAAGAAACCAAGAAGTTTTCTTCTAAAGCTGGAAAAGACGCGACTAGATTTAAGAGCAGATGCTGGACTATTGAGGAAGACAAAATCTTAGTTGAGGTAATACGAAAACGCGGTCGGAAGTGGAGGGAGATTTCTGATGAGTATTTCCCTCATAGAACACATTTGGCCGTCCGTTTTCGATGGTTTAATCGCATTCAGCCTCTGTTAATAAACGAGGACCTCTCACTTGAACAATTCAATGATGTAATAAACAGCATTATTCAAAACGGTGCCGATAATCTGGGGAAAATATCAAAAGAAGTACCTGCGGTACCACTCGATGCAATAAAAAGCATATGTGGTAGAAAGAATGAAAAGACACGTCACAAACCTCGCCAATGGACAAAAGAAGAAGACGATTTCATAAGAGAGCAAGTAATGTTGCACGGTTACAAATGGACTCTTATTGCCAGCAAGCTAACTAATGCTGAAACATACCAAGTGAGACATCGATACTTTTCTAATTCCACTCGCAATACGGCAAGACGCAAATGGACATCAGAAGAAGATAAGATTCTGCTCCGTCAAATTGCTAAATACGGAATGAATTGGCAACTTGTTGTTGCTGGACTGACTGGAAGAACTGATATCGACTGTCTCTTTAGATGGTTAACCTTGTCGTATAATTCGTCGTCTAAGAACGATCTTCAGTGGAGCGCAAGGGAGCAAAAAGTGTTATGGACAAGAGTGGCCGATCATGGAGATGATTGGAATGAAGTAACAAAAGGAATGCCACGTAGATCGGCATACGATTGCAAGAACTATTGTATGAGATTTTATAAAAGCTTGAGTGATGCCAAGTTGGTGAGACTTGATGCTTCCGAATCGATGTCCAACAACTTACGAGAGTTAGGAAGGTTTATGATGACTGATCGTGTGATCGGATACAATTCCCACTTGGGAGGAAAGACGTACTACAACAAGCGGTCTTACTGGTCACAGGAAGAGCTAAACACGCTATGTACCATGGCAGAGACGTATAGGGGGAAAATCATAGATTGGGAAAAAATATCCGCTGCCTTCAAGGAAAGAAGTCCATCTCAATGCCACGCGCAATGGGATCGTGTCCGCTTCGCTCCGTCTTCTTGGACTGTTGCTGAAGACGAGATACTGAAAAATTTACTCTCCGGTAATCCGTCTATAGATTGGGCAACTATTGCCCAACGTCTGCCAGGCCGTACTGTATTTCAATGTAAAAATCGCTGGCACGAAGTGCTTAATCCTGTCAGCAAAAGTAAACCATTCTCGCAATACGAACTTGCTCTTCTGCGAAAAGCTGTTGAAGTCACGGAACGTGGTCCTAATGGTGGTATTAATTGGTCTTTAATAGTACAGAGGTATTTTCCTACACGAGGGCGTAAGCAGTTATTTGATAAATGGCATCGCCTGACATACGAGACGTTCTCGGAGAGGACGCTTGGCCGTTGGACGCAAGAAGAGAACGAGTTGTTGATAAAGGGCGTCGAAAAATATAAGGGTTCTCCTGGAATGTGGCAAAAGATAGCTTATACTATTGGCAGCAGGACTAGGTTCCAGTGTAGACATCGATGGTCGTTTTCACTTGACCCTCGGTTGAAGAAGGGGTCGTGGGGTATGGATGAGTTGAAGCTGTTGCTCGAGGGGATTGAAAAACATGGGTTAAAATGGGCAACCATTGCTAAGACTATTCCCGGGAGGAGTGATAGGGCATGCGCGCAGAAGTTTTATGAGCTGAAGGATTGTCATGTAAAGCGTAAAAAAAGGCGTAGCCCGGGTGATTGGATGCTAACTTTGAAACTTGAAAACATTTTACGACGATTTGGTAGTAATAAAACTTTGACATTGAAATAGATTTTGTCCAGTAGGCGAGTTAAATATCCAATTTCATGAATATATCATTAGTCAGATATCTTATAAGTTGGTCATCCATTCCTTGTTTCTTCATTGAACCATTATAAATGCTCTTTCATCCTTAAAATTATTATTCATCCATTATGTTTTCTACATATACATCCAATCATATTCTTCTTCTTCTTCTTCTTCCTCTTGCTCTTCTTCTGCCTCTTGCTGCTTCCTTCTTTTCCAAGCAGGATCATCACTATCGACTTCATGTCGGCAACTGGGACATGTGTTGTGCTAAAGATGTAAATTAGATTACTGTGAATCTCAATGTTAATCACGCCACTCCACGGTCATCCGTTGCATAGTGAAAACACGTTAACTTACAAGTTTAAGCCAAGGAATAATACATTCTTTGTCAAACATATGCTCACATGGAAGACGAGTCACACTTTTATTGCTCTCTGAAAAGTTCTCAGCACAGACGATGCAGGAATCATCTAACAAAGAAGTAGGTTACGCTAATTATTATTGCTGCAATGAATTATAGAACATGCTTTGCAGGCGTTACCAGGCGTAATTTGCGCTTTGGGAACGTCGGGTAGACTTTCTATGAACGCTTTACTTGCTGGCGGGGGACCTTTTGAACTGGAACGAAAATAACGTTTATTCAGATATAGCATGATTTCGCTTACTCCCTTTGTTTCGTATACGCTCATACCTGTCACCGGCTTCCTCCAATAGTTGAGTAATTAGGTTGTTCAAGAATGTCTGCTGACTATCACTTCCAGTGACGAGATCCCTGAGCATTCCAAATCGCCTACATTATCATTCATCGTAATCAGCTAAAATTGCATCTACATCAATAGTAAATTTGTTCAATTATACACACTCGCTCTCATTTTACACCACCCACTTTTCATCCTTATTATCTCACCCAGCCAAAGCATAAATTTGATCAATCAATTCCGGAAGTTCTCTCGACGACCCCGCCTGCGATTGTCTCGGAGAAGATCCAAAGAAGACAGATACATCGGGATTATCCTCCGAAGGCCTCGTTCTCCGTTCTTGACGATCAGGGTCAGCTAGGCCCTTTTCGTCTTTATATTTTTAAAAATTTGACATGAAATAAGAATTATCGACGATAAACAAATTAAGATTGAATTTGTTAGTACAAACCAAAATACGAAGACATTAGAAGATTTATGGTTAGATAGAAGAATCGGCGATAAATGAGTGTCAAAGTTTCAGTGGCGTGTTTGAAGGTAAAGGTTACGGAATGTTGACAACGTCATGAAATTTTGTGTCGGACCTTGGTGAAACCAACTGCGGCAAGTGTTCATCAAATTCATTGCGTAAGTGCATCAATCAATTGGCATAATTATGTTACATAACTATCAAGCAATGCCCGGGGTACACCTTTAGCGTTCAATCGTAGGTGTAGACAATAAAAGAACGCAAACTTCAAGAGAAAAACTCCCCGGGCTCTCTATTAATCTGAAGTCCACACCCATCGCACCCAAATACTTTATTCCCACCCAAATTCCTCCTAATAAATCCGCAACGACTGCATGTTTTACTCGTATATGCTTCAGATATAGATGTTATTACGATTTTACCAAATTCTTCCGCTTTAGATAGCAATCGATTCTTAAACCTAGCATGCGCCCAGCTCATCATCTTTCGAACTGTTTTACAGTAACGTGCAAAAGTATCCTACCGGTTGTATCATCTAAACGTACATAATAATAACTCCTTAAATTTTCC